CTGACACCATCTTCCTCCAAAAATAAACTTTATCGTTTATAACACTTCAGGATCTACATCTATTTCTTCTGCTTCATCCTCAATGTCGATCTCTTCGACAGGTTTGATAGCAGCTTTGAGTAAGTTCTTACCCATTGTCTTAAGTTCAACTGGGTTATATTCTTTGTCTTTACTCTTTGTTGATTTCGTGAGATCTACATATAAACAATAACTTTTAGTCTTGTCAAGGTTTATTCTCGCTGAGAAATGGTCAGGAATGTTTATAGCTATCTTTTCAAACTTGAGTAAATTAGCTAAACCTTCATTTGTGTATTTCTGCTTATCGACAAAGATCATGATCGGACTTGCACTATAACCATACTTTCCTTGACATAATGTTTGTGGTAAGCATATAAGTAGTCTCTTTGCTGTTTTATTTTGCTTCTTCACTTCATCTACAAACTGTTGGATCTTAAAGAACTTTATATGATGTTCAGACATCTTTATATACCCGATAAAAAGTTCAGATAAAAAAATAATTAGCTATATTTTTATTAGTGCATAAATGAGTCTTTCTTTGAGATTTTCTGATGAAGATCTAACTTTGGTAAGATCTTTAAAAGATGATGAAAACATTCTTTCTGTCATTGATGAAGAAAAGAAATACTTCAGTAATGATGTAAAAATAGAGCTACTCATTCATACTGAGAAACAGTTTGTGATCGTGATCTTGAGTTAAGCAGCTCTGAACCAAGCGAATACAGTCATAAATGGTGGTAAGAAGTCTTGACCTTTTCCTGTTGCATCTGTGATTCCAGCTACTGTGTGAGTATGGTTTCCTGCAGATCCGCAGAAAATACCTGTACTAACATCTCTAGGGTCATCTGTGATATCATATCTATTCATACCTTGTCTATCAGAACCTGCTGCAAGATTTGTATAACCTCTTTTTGTCATTGAATGTGAATGCTCTCCATTAGTAGATGTTGTTGCACTGAACCTATGGGAGTGTGGTGGAAGGTTTTCAACTCTGATAGTCTTTGAACCACCAAAGTCCATTGATGAGTTAGAACAGTAAAGAAACTGATCAACAATCGGTTGCCAAACACCTCCATAAAGGGTTTGCGGGCTTGTTGAGCTCATTGATGTAAATATAGAACCAATTGGATACATCATGTCAAACATGTTAGAAGGTCTATAAGTATAATCTACTGTGGTGACATCGTTCAAATAAAACTCAAACGTATCTCCAGGATGAATAGTTAAGTTTGTTCCATCTTTTTTGTGGAACACAAGTTCAATAGATTTACCATGACTCAATGTATAGTAACTTGGACCTTTTTCTGATGGACCAATGTTATAATTTATAAATATTGCAACTTTACCCATATCATTATTACCAAAGCTAACTGTAATGCTTTCAGGTATTCCATTGTTTACAGATGCATTAGAGATCTTTGAGATCTGTTCATTAACATAAGTTTTGTCTGCTTTGTTGTCTAAAGAAGTTTGAAGTGAATTTATGTCGGAGATATTGTGTTTATGAGATTTCAAAACTTTGTTCGTTGCGTCAAGTTCATCTTTGTCAGCTTTACTTTTAATAGCATCTTCAACGGTTATTTTTGCCTTAACTCTCAACCTAAATCTTGGCTCAACTAATACACCGTTAACAAAGAAGTATGAAGCATAAATTTCAGCGTTATAACCAAATGATTGTGGTGCTATACCTGTGTCATACTGTACAGTACAGTGTATGTCATAACCTTTAGCACGAATGAATTTATATCTTCTTTCATTAACATTTTTCGTATTCACTTTTTCACCCTGTGTTAAATATCCGTGGTAGTCCGTTATAATCTGTTCATCTGAACTTATATAATGAACATGGTTCTTGTCAGCTTTCTTATCTAACATTGCTGGTAGTTCATATACTTCGAAGTTTCTGGCATGACCTTCAATGTTCGTACATTTACTATCTAAACTGTTAAGAGTATCTTTTACGCTAGTGCTTGGATCTTCTTGTGGAGCACTTGAACCTAAAGTATAGTTCAAGATAATGTCATCAGCTCTTATTTTCTTGATTTGAACTGGTTGGTCATTATCAGCTCCTATTTTATTGATTATAACAGGTTTGTCTTCTCTTGAACGAATTGATTTAACTGTCAAAGGTTCAGTGAACTCATTATTTTTCAAAGGAAACAATGTTGTATTGATGTTTTCACCATTAATATATACTTCTTTTGTATCAATACCAGATGGGAATGAAACTCTTTCATTAACTTTAACTGTTGTACCATCACCTGGGTACATATCTTTCTCTGGACCTTTGATTGTCTTAAGTATGACAGACTGTGATAAAGTATATTCTTTAGATGCAACTTTACGTATCTCTTCGTCAACATAACTTTTGTCAGCTTTGTCTGCAATCTTAAGTGCAGTTCTTCCTCCATTATTTTTGTTCTCCTCAACTTTCTTCGCTAATTCAGCAAGAATGAGATAAAGATAATCAGTAAGGTCATCAGTACCAGACATATTAATATTATTGTTCTTTCTTGATGTATTAGCAACTTTCACTAAGGTCACAAAATCAGGGTACAAAGTACTTAACGTAGAAATGATTGTTTTTGGTCCAGGATCTTTCTCTTCTTCATCATTAGCATCACGTGGCATTGGAATTGGTTCCAAAGGTCCAGTCACATCAAAACTCTCAAGTTCCATATAACCTTCATTTCTGAATCTTTCTATATGAGTTATCTTCTGGAAACTTGTTTTAGTCTTTTCAACTAAATTTTTTATTCCATCCACAAAACCTCCTTTATGATTTGGACCAAGATTACCCAGAGTGTCAAGAACAGTATCTATACCTTCTTGACTTTCAACAAAAGCCCAAAGAGCATTTATTTGACTCTGGAGTGATATCCATGAGGCTGCAGTAGCACCGGCGTTTGCTATGGCAAAGATGAATGATAAAGGGTTGAACTTAAGACCAGATTCTTTATCTTTGACAATTTCAACGAAGTCATTGATATTTTTCTTCAAGTATTCCTTAGTCAGAAGAACTCCATCGCCAGCTATACCAGTTGCTTTTGTCTTTCCTTTAACATCAAATGTGATTGGTTTCTTCAATAAAATAACTTCTGGTGTTGTACTGATGCTATCATTAGTGGAGAAAAATTCTCCGACATGACTTGCTAAGTATTCTTTCGTCAATAATGTTCCATCACCAACAATACCAGTTGCTTTTGGACCATCTTCTGTGAATGTCAATGGTTTCTTTAACATAACTTTATCTAAGTATATTGCAATACCACTATTTTGTACTTGTTCATGACCTAATATATAAGCAAATGCTGCGTTTAAAGCATTATACAATGTATCTTCTTTAAATGTTAATTGACTGTTTTCAATCATTGGTATATTGAACAGTGTAGACCTTGGGTCAAAATGAACTCCATGGTCAATCGATAATAACCGTTTAACATGATATATTATAGTCTCTAATGCTTCATTAATATTTACCTCACGAGTTTCTTGCAAACCATTACTCGCCATACATGAAAACATATAATCTCTATCAGTTGTGAAGAATGGAGCATCTAAGTAATTATTCTCTACTTTTGTCACACGATTCTGTAACGCTTGAAGGTATTGATTTAAGTCTGTTTCAACAATTGTACCATCTGGTTGCTCGATAGGTAATATACCAGGACCGATGGTAATGTCTTCATCAGCACCTTCTTTATGTATGACTAAAGCATTATCAGTAATTCTGAGAGTATATTCTTTATATTGAAGTACGCTAGACTTATAACATTCATATGCATATGGAACAACACTCATTCTTTTACTACATATAAAAATGATGTATTATCTACAATCGACTGATCCTAATAACTACGGGACAATACAGTTTCAAGCAGATCCTAACATGGGGCATCCAAGTAAGATAAAGATGAGAGTAAAAAGTGTCAGTACTATGGCGAACTTTATTGTTTGTGACGAAACAGATTATTTTGTCTTACAGTTAGACGAAGATGGAGAAGAAAAGGTGTGTACATTTAAGTCAGCTCTTTCATTTGATATGGATACTATTGTATCAAAACTACAAGAGATTGTAACAAAACAGTTTGATTATTATAACAAGAAAAAAGGTCAACATAATGTAACAGTTTCACTGAGTGCTACGAATCAACTTATATTTACGTCACAGGACAAAGGACATAAAGTCTATTTAAAAGATGCTTCACATAGAGCAAATCTTATTTTAGGTGCATATGGAATAGAACTACCTATTGTACATAATTATTATCTACAAATGCCAAAACCACCTATGCTCAACTTCGGGTATCAGTTATACCTTCGTTCATCAATGTCTGTCATCTCTGGGTTCAATAATATTGACCAAGTTGATGATCGAAGAAAGATCATGTACAGATCTACATGTTATAACATCAATGAGTTCTGGATATCTGGTAAACCACTTATATGTAAGGAATCCTCACCATGGATAGATGCATTTCCATGGGAACTAACTAATGTTACGTTTACCTTAGTTGACTTCCAAGATCAGCCTGTTCGATTATTGTCACCAATGTTTATGGTGATAGAGATTAAACCAGATAAGCCAGAAGTTAGAGAAACCAATGATGTCAGTGATGATGATACAGAATCTTCGTACGATTATGATTACGATGACGATTAAAAAAAAATAACGTATATTTTTTTATCGGTTATAAAAGACCAACATGCTCAATGCTATAAAAGGATTAGTTAATAACCTTTCACCAGAAGATAAGAAAGGTATGCTTGATATGTTTGGGATCAAAATGCCTAAGAAAGCTAAAGACATTACCAATAAATTAGCTCTGGCAATTAAGAATCAAGGAGGTACAGGAAGTGTAGCAGATATTTTCAAGAATGCTAAGAGCTTCTATGATGACTACAATGGTATCATGAATGTTCCAGCTTCAAATTCCCCAGTTGCTTTAGATCACGATCAGAGATCTCATAATAGAGCGTTAATGGAGATGCAACCAATATACTCAGACCCTCCACCAAAGATTGATGAGAGCGAATTAGCATACAAAGAAATACAGAATGCCTTTTACGTTGTTAAGAACATTAATGGTCAAAAACTTCCTGATGAGAAATGGTTAGACCCAATAACTAAAGCAGGAGAAAGATTCATTATGTTTAACATTGACCAATACAGTCCAAGAGGAAAAGATTACTTCAACAAGATGTTTCCAAGAGTTATGGCAAAGTTCATTGGACAGATAGACCTTTTCAAACAGAAGTGGACATTCTATTACGACTTTGATGAGAAGAGAAACATTTTGCGTCATTTGAACATCAATACAATGGGATCATTAGTTCATCAGTTACTTAATGAAGCTCCAATAGCAGAAGTACAAGAATTAGCATCTAAAGTCCTTGAATCAAACTATGACTTCTTCCTTTGTAGTATTCCTTCGTTAAGGAAGATCGAGATCTTTGACTATACAGCTTATTCAGATGTTGATGCTTCTGCTTTGAGAAAAGGAACGTACACACCATATAAACTCACAGCTGAAGAACAAGTTATGTTAGATACGATGAGAGCAGCAGGTCAAGAAAAGATCGCACTCAAGATCATCAAACAAAACCATTCAAAGAAGAGAAACAGGTCACGTAATGGTCAGCTTTGGACATGGACATGCAAATTACCTATTAACTTAGAGAGGTATCAGATCTTCAACGAACTTAATGCAGAGACAGCAAAGAAGATGATGAAAGATTCATGTTTCATCTACGCTTGTATTCAAGCTGGTGTTGACGAAGCAACAATTAATCATATGAGGGAAATCATTCGTGTCAAAGATTTTCCAATGTCAAAGATTAAGGTTATTGCCAAAGAAACAGGAATAAGGTTCCATGTCATCAAATACAACGAGAAGTATTCAAATCATTCATATACTTATGAACCAGATGAAGAACCAAAGATGACAGTAGAACTTTTATTAATGTATGACCACTACATGTTGAACGAAAAGCTTCCAATAAGTTCAATGTTCATCAAGAACTATGAAGATGTTTGTAAGTTGTGCAAGGATTGGACTTTAGAGAAGAAGATGTTAGTTAACAGAAGATATGAAACAAGGTATGCAATTAACTCAAAGTTAGTTACACCACTTGCAAAAGTCATTGAACTCTTGTTTGCTAACAATTATTTCGAACCAATTAGAACAGGAGAACTTTGCACATACTTCACAACGATGTATAATGAGAACCTTGAAGAAATGATTGACCTCACATACAATGAGCGTTATTGCGCAAGGATGAAGAAAGATTGGAGTTCAGAGACGAAGAAAGACATGAAGTTCCCAAGAGAACATGTTTTCTTTGCTGACTTCGAAGCATCAACTGATGGAAACATTCACAAAGCATACAACATTTGTTTCATGGAAGATGACGATGATGGTTATACATCAATTTGGGGAAGTGACTGTGCGTCAAAATTCCTCGAAGCTTTACCAGATAAGAGTTTAGTTTATTTCCACAACTTATCGTACGATGTCACTTTTCTCATGTCTCAGTTAGAAGAGATTACAGGAACTCCAATCATCAAAGGTTCACAAACGATGCAGATACAAGGAAAGTACAAAGGAAAACTTCTCTGCTTCAAAGACTCTTATGCAATCATCTCAACTAAGTTGGAAAGATTCCCTGAAATGTTTCACCTCACTAGTGGTGAAAAAGAAGTTTTCCCATATAATTACTACACGGAAGAGTTAGTTAATACAACTAAAGTTGGTAACATCGATGATGCCATGAATCATGTCAAAGATATTGAAGCTTTTAATGAGAACATTGAGAAGATTGAAGATTGCAAGATTGATGATGAACACTTTGACATGGAAGTTTATTCGTCATTCTATTGCGGTCAAGATGTACGCATTTTACGAGATGGCTTTCTTAAGTTCCGCAATGACCTCATGACTGAGTTTGAAATAGATGCTTATGATTATGTTTCAATAAGTTCTATCTCAAACAAACTCTTTGAGAAGAGAGTATATTGGAAGAACGGTAATCTCTTTGATCTTGCAGGAAAACCTCGTGAATATATTTCCAAGTGTATTCAAGGAGGAAGATGCATGCTAGCTGAGAACAAGAAGCAATACAATGAAGGAGAACTCATCACTGACTTCGATGCTGTATCATTGTATCCATCAGCAATTGCTAGACTTTACTGTTTAGAAGGAATTCCAAAAGTTATGACAGAAGAGATGAAGAGCAGTGAATACTTGTTGGAGCATCTCTTTGATGATGACCAAGCTGAACCAACAAAGGAAAAGTTCATCTCAGGATTTTACTGTCAGATCGAGATCTTGTCGATCGGTAAGAACTCAGCATTCCCATTGATTGTCGTCAATCCTGACATCAACCCTGACTTACATGTTGCCAGAAGTTCCAATACATGCTGCAAGATGTTCGTAGACCACATTACGCTTCAAGATCTGATCAAGTTCCAAGAGATCTCATGCAAAGTCATTGATGGATACTATTATGATGGAAAAAGGGACATGACAATAAGGAATGAAGTTAAGAAGCTCTTCGAATTACGTGCTAAGTATAAGAAGGAAGGTAATCCGATACAAGAGATCATCAAACTTCTTTTGAACAGTATCTATGGTAAGACGATATTAAAGCCCATTGACAAAAAGATTCGTTTCATCAAGGACAATAAGCTCACTGACTATATCATTTAAGAACTATAATGACATACAGACAATAGAGTTCATCCCCGATTCCGAACTTTCATGTGTAAAGTCATTTAAACCTATCGTTCGTCACTTTAACTATTGTCCATTAGGTGTTTCAATCCTTTCTATGTCCAAACGAATCATGAATGAAGTATTCTTCACAGCAGAAGATTTGGGCTTGAAGTTGTTCTATCAGGATACAGATAGTTTACACTTGTATGAGAAGGACTTAGATAAGTTAGCAGAAGAATACAAGAGAAGGTATAACAGAGAACTCATTGGAAAAGCACTGGGTCAATTTCATTCAGACTTTGCAGAGATTACTGCAGGACATATGTCTAAGGCACAAAGATCTATATTCGTTGGAAAGAAGACTTACCTCGACGAATTAACCAATGACCTCAAGGAAATTGCTTTCCACTGTCGAATGAAGGGAATCACACAGGACGTAATTGCACTTACTGCAAACCAAATGTTCCCAGATGCGATACAAGTACATTATGACGAGAAGAAAGGTTTGTTCTTCCCTGAGAAAGTTGGGGAAAAATATAGCATCGTGGAATTGTACAAATCTCTTTATGAAGGTGATGAGATAACCTTTGACTTGTGCATTGGTTCGAAACCATGCTTCAACAAAAATAAGGACTTCACTATTTCAACGAAGTCATCTTTTGAACGTAAGTTAAAGTTCTAAACACTTACTTATTATTTTTCTTAGCTTCTTCCTCTTCTCTCAATTTCTTTGCAATCATTCGTGGATTCTTTGCGCGTCCAGCTGCTAATGCAGCTAATTGTTTCTCTGTGAGTTTACGCTTTGGTTTAGCTGGTTTCTCTTCTTGTGTTTGTTCTTTTGGTTTGAGTTCATTAAGTATTTCTTCACGAAGTTCATTCTTGAGTGCTTCTCTGTCGAAAGTATTCTCAGTCATTTTGTTAGGAGTAAAAAATTTTATTAGGATAGAAATGACGTCAAAACTTTCACCAAGTGAAAAGCAATCAATCATATTGAATGAAGCTAAAGGAATACAACATCCATTATATTATGTTTGTCATATGAAGAATGGTTCAGTTCAAGTTAGAAAGAGAAAGGCACCATTGAATTCACCAGCTCCTGCCCCAGCTCCTGTTGTTCAAGAAGCTCCTAAAGTTGATGAGAAGAAAGAAGAAGAACAAGCATATACTAATAAAATGTTGTTAGAGATGATGACAAAGATATTAGAACGTAACAGTGTAGTTAATGAACCAAACATGGACCCAATTGAACGTGAGAAGGAAACTAAAGAGAATCAAGAATATGTTCAATCAATGGAAGAGAAAAGAATACACTTCGATGATGAACCAGAGCCTGAACCAGAACCTCCTAAACCTCAGCCACAAATAAGACGAATAATCCCAAGAATAAGAAGATTGTAAATTTTTTATAGCTGAGAAAGATGTTGAACGATAACCTCAATACATACAGTATTGCTGATTCCATCAGACAAGTAAGATATTATTTCGATCAAGTTGATGGGGCAGTTCCTATTGGAGATACTAACCATAGATATGTCCCAACAAAAGTGCCAGCTATGCCGACAAATACTATTGATAACGGTTATATTACATTTAACATATCACCACCTGGTGAGAACATGATTGACTTATATAATACGTTCATTAGTGGTTATGTCGATGGTGAGTGCATAATTACAACAGAAACTGAACCAGCTGATGAAAAAGTTCCTAAATATGATGGTGAAGTATATAAAGAAAGAGCTGTTGAGACAGCTCCTACAGGATCAAATGTTACAGCAATTAAAGCAATTGATACTAAATATGCTGGTGGCAAATCATGTGCACATCTTCCAGCAATTTGGTTGGGATACATTGATTCATTCTATGCTGTTGAATCATATCAATTAATCGCTAATGGTAAAAGTGTTTATACACAAGATAATGCTAGAGAAGAAGGTTACATTACTTCTACTGCATCTACAACAGAAGCTATTAAGAAAGTTGATGTATTTAGTAAGGCTAGACATAAAGATGTTTTCAATAGATGTGATACAGTTCGTTCTGGACAGATTATTGAGTTCAATAAACCAATTAGTGGTGCAACTACATTAAAGTTCCACATACCAATCAAGATTGACCTAAGAAGATTCCTAATACTTAATAACATTAGATTCCTTCCAGCGTTTGCTGGTAACTTACAACTTAAGGTTAAGTTCAGTATTGCTGGTATGGTTTGGACACCATTAAGTTATCAGGATATTCTACCATTACCGAACATGCAAGCCAATGTTACAAGCTATATTCCAATCACTAATCACTTCACTCCTATCTATGAAGGTATCAAAGTTATTGATACTGTAACTTGGAATGCCGATAAGAGTACGATATCATTTGGTACCAAGTTTATTAAGTTCACTAAGAAGAATGCAAACTTCTTTGAAATGATTACATACTGTAACTCATTCTCTTTGGACCCTAACATCTATAGTGATTTGGTGACAAGATATTCGGCAAAGACTCTAAACTTCCCAATCAAAAGAATTGACTGCATTACTATGGATGGTTCAATGGCTAAAGGTGAAGGAACTCCTTGTACATTCACGGCAGCATTTACTCCATTATATGTGAACACCATTTATACACTATTTAAGAAAACACCTAATTATAACACTACCTATGAAAATCCATTGTTTGAACAAATTCAATTGAACTGTGGAGCATATGGTAACATACCCGCTGAGGCTCAAGCATCTAATGATCCAATCTTCTATGAGATGCAGGCAAATGCCACTAACAATAATAACGATACTGTTGGCTTCAACTATGATGTCATGAGGTCTATCACAACCACATCAGTCCCTCAATTTGGAATCGAGTCAAATGACTTAGGTCATTACCTATGTGGATTCCCTTGCGAAACTGATTATACATTCCAACAGGGTCAGTTATCTAATTCACCTATTACATATAAGCTTACAGTTAAGCCAACAGCAGAGTCTATTAAATATACTGAGAAACCAGTGTTATGCTTCTTACGTCACGTTTGCCTCTCCATACAGATTAAACAGGTGGGACCACCTATCGTACTTCTCGACGATTATGATTTATCAGCCCCTGCTAGTGAATAAAGGTTAGTTTACATATGAACGTTTATTTTTACACATATATGCGTACATATGCGCGCCCGTATGGTGTCAGTTTTCTGTCACTTTTTTCATTGTGTCGGTGACTGTAGCTGTAGGCTACAGGCGACGCACAATGTATACTGTACTAATGAAACAATAAAGGTTAAATAAATAATAAAGATTTTTATTTTATATCAGTATTGAGAAGAAGTAACAACTGACACTTGGTAGACAACTTCTTTATGTCTAGAAAATTCTATCTTGCCTTTTATTTTTTTCTCGCTGTGAAACGTATTCGGTCTTTTTTTTAAAAATTAATTTTTTGTTAGAGATAAGAGCTAAAACTCGGTAAACAACTTCTTTATGTATAGAAAATTCTATCTTGCCTTTTATTTTTTTCTCGCTGTGAAACGTATTCGGTCTTTTTTTTAAAAATTAATTTTTTGTTAGAGATAAGAGCTAAAACTTTGCAGACAACTTCTTTATGTCTAGAAAATTTAACATTCTTCTCCCATTTTTATATATTTGGTTTAGAATGTTCGAAAATGCGTAATATGGTCATTAATATTAATTGAAAAGAACCTTGAATTAATTCAATCTGATCTCACAAAATATTTTAAATTACAAACTTTGTAGTTTGAATAGATAATTAGTATTAAACTCAAATAACTAGTTTATTTTTGAATAAAAATTATTTGAATTTTTTCAATTTTGTGAATTGTCCTTCAAAAATCAAGTTTAAATATCTTATTTGCCATATAATTATAAATACAATGAAACATATTCGAAATTGAAAAGAATGACTTTTTCTGTTCTTTCAATCATTCAATTTGAATTTTGCAATATTGGATTTCTCATTAAATAGCTATTAAAAACAACAAGCAATTTAACTTACATTCAAATTTATTTGTGTTATATTCAATCTTCTCAAAACTTATAATTTTCGGCTATAGCATGATTATATGCTATATAATATAATAAACCTATAATAGTATCATTCTTTCAATTATTTGAAGAGAAAACTGAAAAAATCTATTTTCGGTCTATAACACTATAACAATATTGCTAAAATAAAATGATTTTCATGAAATTCTTGCCATATTGCATAATTCCTAATGCAAGTATATATTTTATTGCATATAAATTCAAATAGAATTCAATTGATTATATTTTCTTTCATAAATAAATTAATTGTAAAATAGGCTGCAACACTATCAATAATAGAATTTGTATATATAAATAAATTTGTAAGAAAAATTGATTTCAATAGCGTTTCAATTCAGAAAAGTAAATTCCCATAATTTTTCCTTTTATTGTAATTAATGGTAATAATGCAGTAATTTTCATTTTAAACATTTTTCTATACAAATATAAATATAAATTCTTTCTTAAAATGCTACTCCTTCTCCTTCAGTACTCTTGGTGGTTGCAAAATCAAGGAGTTAACGGTGGACTAAAAGGAGAAGACATAAATTGGACTGATAGTTACAGCACAATTCAAGGAAAAAACACAACAATTGTGGTTATGTCCGATGGAGCCAGATTAACACATTCATCATATAGTAATCGAACAGATCAAAGCGAATTTTATGATATATTTGAAGGATTGCCATATCAAGAAAATTCAGATTGCACAAACAATAATATTGGAACGGCATCATTACAATTAGCCGCAGGAAATGTGTTAATGATACAAATCCTATTACGCAAGGTATTGCTAAAAAAGCTACTGTATTTTCATATTTATTCCAAACAAATGGCTCTCTTGAAGAATCTTTTCTAAACGTAGGTTGTAAAGGAAGTAACAAATGGGATGTTGCTATAGTTCAGTATCTAATGACTAACTGTGTCGATAGATTTTGTCGTTACATTCAACCGGATGTATTTTCAAGGCATGTTTTAGATGAATGCCTATATAACCCTCCTGCTGATAATTGGGCTCATCCAATTGTTGTCCCAGCGGAACAAATCATGCATCTGATCCCCTCTTTTCGCCACCAGCAAGCTGGCCGATGATTTTCACTATCGCAGGAGTCAGTCACAGGGGTCAACCTTTATGGTGCGGCGCTGAAGGTGCAGGAGTATTCATGTGCTGTCCAGCAGCAGACGATGCAGCAATACCTGCGGCTGGTTCATGTAGTGATACTGAATACATTTCAAATTTTTCTTCAACAAATGCAAGTGCTGCAATATTTGCAGGTGGTTTATCAGTGCTGTTATCTGAGGTTCCGACATTAAAACTTGCAGATCTCTTCTTCATTACTGCAATGACTGCAGATAAGAACCGACCAGATGGTTTGATATGGAGAAAGAATGGATTTGGTTTAAACTACAATAGAAGATCAGGATTCGGACGCTTGAATTTAGGAAGAGCCTTAGATTTGGCGAAAAGATGGAATCTGTAGGAGATTTCTATCTATGGAAGAAAACTGTACATTACAATACTCTTTTGGATGAAGGTATATAAACATTACATTTGATATGGATGATTTGGAAGGTGCAGCAACTCTATCTGTTTTCATTGAAATAACTGCTCTTAAATTATCTTTTGGATCGCTCAACCCTCATTTAGTTAGTCCAAGTGGAACAAGATGCGAAATCAAAATACTTACTGAAGGCGATAAAAAATTAAATATTGAAATTATGGAATTCAATACAAATAATTTTGTTGCCGAAAATCCAAAAGGAACATGGACATTGTATTTTATGGAGTCTGATCATGCGGCTCGAGGTTTAATCAAAGATGTCACTTTGAATATATTTTATACAAAAAAGGCTCCGAAGGCATCAGATATTTGGCAGAGAGATGATTGTATTAATCCATGGAAGCATCAAGAATCAAAGATAAGATTCTTAGCGCAAGAACCGGTTCCATTCGAAGCAGGTAAAAAGTTTTCAATAGACGTCCAAGTTCCTGACGAACAGAAAAATATCTACTATATGATATACCTTGAATCAGAAGACGGGGAAAAAAGTTATCTTCGATACATCACGATTCAATGAAAATTACACCAAAATCGAAGCCGATTTCATACCAACAGTGTATGCAAATGGACTGAAGATGTTCTTGCTTGTTGAATCATTGCATTTTGAAACTGGATTATTTACGGATAAAATTGAACTGAATTATTCTAATCCATATTCGCCTGGAATTATTACGCCAAAGAATGGAACATGGATCACTACTAAAGATATAAGAATTGAATTAATATATGCGCTCAATCTAACCTATATGATTGATGAAGGATATTCAACTTCTGCAGCATTGACAATTATAAACGCAAGAAGTCATATTATATTAGATCGCAAATGGTTACGAAATCTTGGAAGAATAGTTTACTGGAATGATTACGCAAAAGACAAAAGTTTTATTATGCAAATTTCTCCATCATCAAGTTTCGTCCACAATATAACGTTTAAGCCAATGGAGATATACATGTTCATAAAGGAGACACCAGGAAAATATCAAGTAGAGGGAACTATTATTCCGCTCATAACAATTGTTGTTATATGTATAGGATTAGTCATTCTTGTTGTTGGCCTGATATATAGATCAATTGAACTTTCTAGGCATAAAGCAATTGAGATTGATTCTGAATTAATCGATAATTAGTATTGTTTAGCAAAAATTCTTTAATATCATGATTATGTAACTAAAAGCAGGAACTATGTTCGATATAATACGAATATCATTAATTCTTTTCAAATCAAATTTATCAAAATTATCGATTGTATAATATTTGTATGCATGATGAATGATTTTTCAAAGAATCATAGAAGTTGGGAAAAGTATAATTCAAAACCAACGATGAGAGTCTCAAAAAAATTAAAAAGCGCCTTTGAGAGTAATTGTTGATAGTTAATTTTATTGGCATTTTCATGATGAAAAAGAAGTTATGAAATGCCACGTAAGAGTTGAGATGTAAAAATATTGATTCACAAAAATTGCGAACAAAATTTTCACTTTAAAATTTATTCTAATTTTATACTATATAGCATAAAGGTAATATAAATAATACATGAAAAATTTTTAGAGTGTATTCAATTCTAACTTTAGACTGTTATAGACCGAAAATAGATTTTTTCAGTTTTCTCTTCAAATAATTGAAAGAATGATACTATTATAGGTTTATTATATTATATAGCATATAATCATGCTATAGCCGAAAATTATAAGTTTTGAGAAGATTGAATATAACACAAATAAATTTGAATGTAAGTTAAATTGCTTGTTGTTTTTAATAGCTATTTAATGAGAAATCCAATATTGCAAAATTCAAATTGAATGATTGAAAGAACAGAAAAAGTCATTCTTTTCAATTTCGAATATGTTTCATTGTATTTATAATTATATGGCAAATAAGATATTTAAACTTGATTTTTGAAGGACAATTCACAAAATTGAAAAAATTCAAATAATTTTTATTCAAAAATAAACTAGTTATTTGAGTTTAATACTAATTATCTATTCAAACTACAAAGTTTGTAATTTAAAATATTTTGTGAGATCAGATTGAATTAATTCAAGGTTCTTTTCAATTAATATTAATGACCATATTACGCATTTCGAACATTCTAAACCAAATATATAAAAATGGAGAAGAATGTTAAATTTGCTAGACATGGGGAGTTGTCTGCAAAGTTTTAGCTCTTATCTCTAACAAAAAATTAATTTTTAAAAAAAAAGACCGAATACGTTTCACAGCGAGAAAAAAATAAAAGGCAAGATAGAATTTTCTAGACATAAAGAAGTTGTTTACCGAGTTTTAGCTCTTATCTCTAACAAAAAATTAATTTTTAAAAAAAAGACCGAATACGTTTCACAGCGAGAAAAAAATAAAAGGCAAGATAGAATTTTCTAGACATAAAGAAGTTGTTTACCGAGTTTTAGCTCTTATCTCTAACAAAAAATTAATTTTTAAAAAAATGACCGAATACGTTTCACAGCGAGAAAAAAATAAAAGGCAAGATAGAATTTTCTAGACATAAAGAAGTTGTTTACCGAGTTTTAGCTCTTATCTCTAACAAAAAATTAATTTTTAAAAAAATGACCGAATACGTTTCACAGCGAGAAAAAAATAAAACTGTACACTGATTTTCATTTTCATTTCCAGTCACTTTACTTATTATTTTTTCTTTTTTTCATTTTAATTATAAATTATTTCATAATACGTTTATTTAAGTTACCATTTTCTTTATTCTTTTGAATTCCATACTAGACACTTATAGAATATTTTGATTGTTAACGTACTTCATTAGAATGAATCCTTACAAAGGTATGTCGATCGAATTTACCTAATTGGTATTTCCAATCAGATTGAAGAAGGTAAAATGACATGGGAAGAAGCTTGCACCCATGTTCCATCGCCCCAACCCTTCAATCAAATGATTTCAAATATTTAGATGTTTCAAAATCTTTTTTACAAAATCAATTTAGCTTACAGAATATCCCATTGCCTAAAGGCAAGAAAGGTCGTAGGGTCAATCCCTACGACCAAATCAAAGCTCTTGCTGTGATACATGACCACTGGGCCTTTCCCTGTGGTCAAACAAAACAATGGAAACGTTTGAAATTACAACAAATTGATGTATCTTATAGAGAAGTACGCAGATACTTCAAAGAAAATCATTTCACCAAGACGCGATTAGAGCATGCCGGGCCAGAAACAGCAGTAAGATATTGGGCGCTTTCACCCAATCTTATCTGGCACGCAGATGTTCATTATTTTAGGGGTGTTCGTGGCCAGATATTATTTATGGCATAATCGACGATTTTAGCCGCAAAGTCCTAGCGTGTATACAAATACCAGATTTGCTGGCAGCGACGACAGCGAACGTTGCGGCTTCCGCTTTCATTGAATTTGGCGCCCCTTATTGTTTCTGGACCGACAACGGTTCAGAAAATAGGGCGCCTTTCAAGATCTACTTGATCTTTGGGGCGTCCAATGGCGGCATACAGACTCTCATTCTCCCTACCAAAATGGGAAGATTGAGAGATTCTGGCCGACATTGGAGCGCTGCCAAAGCATTCAGGCTATTCCTGCCTTTATTTGGGAGTACAATAATAACACACCGCATGAAGATCTCCCAATTAATCCATTAACTGGAACAAATTACACGCCAAATCAAATGTATCAGCTGAAACCGAAATACACAAATGCAGATACAGAAAGGTTGTGGCAAATATGGGATACAGATACAGGCATGACCGCTGTTGACACATTCACAGCGTAATAATAAACATAATTTTTTAATTTCATTTTTAACAAGTTTTTTTAAATGTATGTAATGAATAATTCATTAGAATATGATAATGCACATTGTAACAGAATAGAACAATCACCAATTTTTTTTTGAAATTAAAAAATAAAAGTAAAAAGTATAAAGTAATCTAACCAAAAAAGACATTTAAAAGAATTTTGGAAAAAACAGAATAAGGATAATGATATTATTTTAGATACACAATCGATGTACTGAAGAATAATCCGGTAAAATGATGATATAAAATTAGATTATTTTACAAGTAGCTAAAAGAATAAAACTATAATATAAAATAAAAAAAAAAAAAAAAAAAAAAGGGAGTGGGGTTTCCAGGCACTTCGTGCCTTCTAGCCCTGATGATGTTTTAGTATCAATGAAGTTTTTATTCGGAAAATTGTTAGTCTTCTGGGTCGAAAACATTATATAATGTGTCGCTTTTCACAAATTATATATGTTTTCATGCTTTGTCACTTTTCTGTCACTTTTCGGGTAAAAACATTTTTATTATTATATATAAATGAATTTTACAAAACCACCGTTACCGTTCTTTGGAAATAAGAGTAGATGTAAAGATATTATATTGAGAGAACTTAAGAAACTACCGAATGGTCTAACATTTGTAGATTTGTTCGGTGGAAGTTTCTATATATCCCATTTGTGTCATATAATATTCCCAGACTCAAAGATTATATGCAATGACTTCGACAACTATATGGACCGTCTCAAACATATACCAGACACAAACAATATATTGAAAGGGTTAAAAGAAAAGATACCTATAGGTAAGATGGAACGTATACCATTAGATAAGAAAAATATTGTGAGAGAGGTTTTGAAAAAAGCAGAATATATAGACTGGGATAGTATATCTGCTAGACTATTATATAGTGGTTCTATAAGAGTTCATGACATTGAAACACTTATGTCAAAAGTTTTATATCTTAACTATACAAATGTTTTCAAAGAGGACATAGAAAAATATATTGAGGGTATAGAGTTTGTGAGATGTCATTGGACAGATTTGTATGAAAAATATAAAGACAAGGAAAATGTTTTCTTATAGTGGACCCGCCGTTCTATAACACATGGGATTTTCAATACAAGTAGACTGGACTTTGAGAGACTCTTTAGAAACTTTAGACGTTATACATAACCATCCATGCTTTTACTTTACATCCGATAAAAGTGGTTTGGAAACCGTTATGAGATGGTTAGAGGACATACATGACTATGAGTTTATATATGACAAGATAGAATATGAGAGAGGTCCTATAAACTGGAGAAAGTGTCACAATAAAGAAATTTTATTAGTAATAAATGTGGTTTGAAATAGGACTACTTGTTTTAGGTTTTTTCCATTGTGTCATTTATTTATTTGACGTGGCAGAAAAGTACAGAGAATATGAAGATGAACCAATGCCTGCAATGTTCAGTATATGTACTCGTAAGAGATATTTTTATCTAATATTAAATGGACGCACAGAACTTAGCGAATGCACAGCAACCTGGACAACCAAACCCAGAGAATATTCCAAATGAAGTTAGAATACAAACTGCAATGGCAAACTATGGTCAAGTGCCAACAGATGTACAAATGCAAACTGCCATGTCAAATGACGCTGCGTTAGGTTTGCCACCATGGTATGCAAATATGAGATGGAAAGAGTTTTATACAAACCCTGAAGTGGGATATAAACAACTTTATGCAGATGACGCGAACACAGGAGTTGACCCAGAATATG